TCCTGTCATGCATGACTGAACACCATTGTCTTGAAAATGGGGCATCGGAACTCGGTTGTAACACTTTAAAACCAGATTATTGCGTAACTTGAAAGTGACAAAAGGCAATCGCCCTTCATTAACATGACCTTTTGTGGTCACTTTCAACCAGGACAAGTATGACAGGGGACAACCTCATTCACTGGTTTATCCAGTGTTACAACTGAGTTGGGATGCCCCATTTTCAAGACAATGGTGTTCAGTCATGCATGACAGGAGGGATACCATCAAGCTATCATCAGAAAGAATACTGCTTCTACTTTTCGGAGATCCATATACATTATAATCATATCTCATGGTTTGGGCATATGAACCCCTTTCCTCAGGGTTTGGTTTTTTTCTGGGACACCCTGTATAAAATATTGTATCTCCTTGTTGATGGTACTGGACTTACCATTATGGCACATGTGATAATAATTTTTTTTACTTTCAGATATTTACATGTACAGTATGACCTCATTTAAATGTCCAAATGCCTCAGAATCGTGACTTGACAATTGAAGCTCACACTCCAAACAGAGGGGAAACGAGATCAACTGCAGCATGGTCTGCTAACGAGCCACAGTAGATGGCCTCTCGGGACTTGATCAATCCATGCCATAGCTACCGGTAGCCACAAACGTTTCCAGTACCTCATAAATGACCAATTAACCATGACAATTGCAGACCAACGACTTATGCGACAAAAGTCAAGCTCACTCGTATAAACTGTGTCCATTGATGCATACAGAATGCCTTCAATCTCACTCTGTCATTAATATTCTTACATGTTTACATGTGCAACAAATTTAAAATGTACTTAGGACCACATACATGAACACGTACAGATATTAAATATCCCTCAGTTTTTGGTGTTGCAAATCTGTCGTACACGTTCACGTACAGTTTAAGTACATGTATCCAGAAAAGCTCTTTAAACACACTGTATTTCATTAAATGTTGAACATGACATTGGTACATGTACATGTACTATTTGTGTATTTTGAGTTTCGACTTTGTATTCTGGAAATACGTAGAAAGTTTGTGGGAAAGTTTGTAACAAGACATGTACATGTACATCCACATGTATGCACTCATTTTGTGAACCTCTGTCTGTTTGTCTCCATACACACATGTACTCCAACAGTGCTGGTCATGCACATGTATACACATGTCATTGTACAGTACAGGTATGGACCAACAAACATTTACAACAGTGCCAGCTTCATGCCAGATGACAAACAGTACATGTTAACTAACA